AACAACATTCTTAAGATACTTGTCTCTCTTCAACAGTTCGTTTCTTCCTTCGTCTTCTACGTCGAACTCTCCTTGCGCTGGAACCGTAAGTATTCGTTTACCTAACACTAAATGTGACGGTGTTAATGGTTCATCTCGATCTGGATATACATAAGTTAGTGGTCTAGAGTTCAAAACTCCTTCTACTCGAATCAATAATGTCAGAAGTTCTTCGTAAGTAAGTCTAGCATTGCGCAAGACTTTCTTCAGACATCTCTTGACACTTCGTACCATTCTTTCATAAAAACCTCCCCACCAAGGGGATTTTTCCACAATATATCGCCATTTAATGTTCTTGGAGGCGATAAAAGCTCTAATTTCTTGACCTTTAAATGTTTTTCCATTGTCTGAAATGATCAGTGCGGGGATTCCACGTCTTCCGATAAATCGCTCTAAACTTCTAACGAATGCTTCGCTTGACATATCTGGAACTAAATCCAAATGTAAGGCTCTACTGCTTGAACAGGTGTACAAGGATATGTAAACCTTGTGCATATCTTTCGATTGACTGTATATGTCCTTCACGTACATTGGACCTGCGTAATCGACGCCGATCTTGGAAAAGGCAAAATCGTTGCTCAAACGGAACTCGGGTAAGGGTGGCGCTTCTGGGTTCCCGTAAGGTGGGCCTTCTAATCTTCGACAAATGGTACATTTCGAAAGGATCTTTTTCACGACTTGGCGACCCTTTGTTATCCAATACTTGGATCGAACTTGCGTTAGGGTTTCTCGAACTCCATTGTGCATGACTTGTTCGTGACTTCGAAGAACAACTAATTTTGTAAAATAGTGGTCACTTGGTAAAAGGATAGGGAATTTCGTATCATGGGGTAAGGGTGATTCTTATATTCGTCCATGGCATCGTATAATGTTCTCTTTATCTTCGAACAAGTTTAAAGACTCCTTTACTTTTCGATAATTTGCTTGTTTGGACATTGGATGCTGAATGTCTTTAATCCATTTCAGTTCTGCGCTGTCGATCTCCTCACAGGTAATCTGTCCAACCGTGGTATCAAGATTCTCTACGCGTTTCTTGAGATTGTTAATAAAACGTAGGACATACGCTGTAACTCGAAGTAATCTTCCAATAGTGCTGTATTCCAAGGTATTTATCAATTCCGTGATATTTGGAATTTGTGCGACATTAACGATTGACGTATTAACGCTTACTCGCGGAGATTTTAACTCGGAATCGTCCTCTTGGGAATTGGAAGGTTGGGATGGCCAATGTTCATTAGACTTTATCAAAAATTCAGGACCATTCCACCACAATTTGTTTTCTACAAGCTGGGTTGCTGTTGTAGGTACATACTTCCATAATTCGGGGGGTGCCAGTGTTCTTATCTCTAATAATCGGTTTTCAACAAATTGTTTGAATTCTTTGTTAGAATTTCGTATCCAACTAAGCACTACAGTTGAATCAGACCAATAGGTGACTGAATCGATTCTCTTGACGTCATTCAAGGCTGTCTTCACGCTTTCAGTTAACCGGGATGCTAGAAGACTTGATAATAATTCCAACCGAGGAATTGTCTGCTTCGACATTGGGGCCACTCTTGTTTTTGAAGCAACTAGATCACAATGAATACCTTCTGAGTGTTCACATCTTACGTAGACACACGCACCGTAAGAACTTTCGGACGCATCTCCAAAGGAATGCAACTCAGTTGACTTTATTTCACCACTGAAAGAATCTGGACAATAACATCTTGGGATACTCATGTTGTTGGCTTCTTTCAATTTCTGGACAATCTTATTCCATTCTTCGCAGAATTCGTCATTCAGTGGTTCATCCCAGTCGACTTTGCTCTTACACAACTCTTGCAACATTTGTTTGAATCGAAGGGTGACTGGAGATATAAGACCTAACGGGTCATAAAACTTTGCTGCGATGCTTAGTATGCTTCTCTTCGTGATAGAATTTGTCTCGACATTCTTCAAGGCCGCAGAAAAAATCATAATTAAAGTGTCCGTTTGGGGATTCCATACTTGGCCTAAGACACGAGGGTGGGAGTCGAGTTGCTGCGGGTCGACGATTGACCTTGAATATCCTTGATCTTCCTCCTTTACTGAACTCGGTAAATTAGACGGTTGTTGAAGACTTTCTGAAAATTGTGGATCATTTTGAAACTCTGTCATTAATTCTTTGCTGTTACTCATCCATTTACGCATATTGAAACCACCTTCAGACAATCGGGTTTTGATCTTCTTCGCCAATTCCAAGGCCGATTCCGGATTATTTGAACCAGACGCAAGATCGTCCACGTAGAGGGACTTTAGTACTTTGGTAACAAAGGTTGGATCAATGGTGGAATATTGAGTAAGGTGATGATGGAGTACAGCATTCAAGATGGCTGGACTGCAGGTAAGACCAAACACTAATCGAGCAAATCTTAAGGTTACAATGTTGGGGCTTGTGTCATGAATGTCATCGATCCAAAAGAAGCGTAAATAATCTCGATGCTCTGGTGAGATAGCAATATTCAAGAACGCTTTCTCGATATCTGCGATCATCGCTACTTTATATACACGGAATCGAACCAGAATATCAAAGATCAAGGTGTTGAGGGATGGTCCAGTATGTAGACAGTCATTCAAACTTGTTCCAGAACCTTTTGCTGATGCATCGTATACAACTCTGACTTTTGTTGTATTCTTATCTTCCCGAATGACTTCGCGATGAGGAAGGTAATGAACGTTTCCAACCGGAACAAGGACGTTATTAGCAGATTCCACAACACCAGACTTTATTTGATCTTTTATTATATTGTCATACTCCTGTAGAAGATTGGGTTTAGCCTTCAGTCGGGTTATCAAGGAATTAAACCGTTTCACAGAGCCAGTATGATTGTCAGGTAGTAGTGGGTGTTCTTCTCGAAAAGGTAGTTTAATTTCATACTGTTTTCCATTGAAGATTATTTCTTCCATAAACTTAGACTCGGTGGTAAGCTCGTTGTCTCGAATTCCTAGTGTTTCAAGATCCCATAATTTTTCTAATTGATTGTACAGACTGTCAGTTGGGTTAGTTATAACTGGTTCTGCATCAATACGGAGTACATGGGTTGCATTAAGGTTGGTCGTACAGCTAGGGTTTCTCTGATTCTCTTGGATCACAGGTCCAGACAGTACCCATCCCAGTCTAGTAAGGACAGCTACAGGACCAGGTTTTGCACCACGTTTTGTTGTGCCAGTTATGAATTTCCAGTAGTAATCTGCACCTATTAATATGTCCACTTCTACATCACTACCGTCAGGCATACTTGGGGTACCTGCGAGATTCAAACCACGAAGATGTGGGTATTCTTCAAGTGCGACTTTAATTGACTGATTGCTAATTGGACTGCAGATTGTAGGTACACTGTATGCATCCATCGTAATATCATTTCCTTTTGTATCTGTTACTGCGAACTTAACTCTATTGCATGTGAGGACTTTAGGAGCTTCATCACCAAAAGTCTTAATAAGTAGGTTTTCTGACTCAACCGTCTCTAAATTCAGGGTATTTCTCAATCTATTTGATATGTAGGATCGCTGACTACATGAATCAAACACAATTCGAGCTTTATGCTTTCCAACTAATTCACTTCCAACTTTGCCCACTAAGCTCTGAGCTGTCTGTAGAAGAACTGCTGTATTACTCTCAACATACATAGTAGATGTTTCAGTTTGGGTTCCCTGTGCAGTTTCTGATTTAGTACTGGGTTGATTAACTTGCAGTTGTCTCACAGGCTCATGTTGTTGTTCTATCTTGCCTCCCGGGACAGGGGGTTTATTGGCATTCTTTTCACAGATTGATAAATGATGATGACCACTATACTTTTGGCATTTATACTGAGAGTCACAATGTTTTATAATATGACCAGACCTGAGGCATAAGAAACATTTCCCTTTTTTCCTTAGAATTGCTCTACGGGCAGCTACATCTGTAACAATAGGGCACGATGCTGATGTATGCTGCTTCGAACAATAACTACAGTATGGCACAGATGACGGACCTTTCCCAGAGAACAATGTTGATGACGAATAGGGCAATTTCCCTCTATAACGTTCGCTTCTATTTTCAAATGGCTTGGGTGAACTACTTTCGGGGATTGTGTTACATCTCTCTCTGGCTTCAAGTTCCAATTTAAACTTACATAACAGTTTGTCAATGTTCCATTCATTTTTCTCTAAGTTTCGAGCAACAATGAGACGCATTTCTTCAGGAAGCTTACTGACAATAAGTTGTACGAGAAGGCTTCCATAAGAGTTAGAATCTATTCCCAGATTTCTAAGACTTCTAATGTGGGTATCAATTGAGTCGTACAATTGACGAATCTTACTGACTTTATGTATGTCACTAACAGCTGGTAAGTTTAATAACTCCTCCATATGACTCGATATAATAATCTGGGGGTCAGCGAATCTGTCTTTGAGCAATTTAACTGCTGATTCATAGTTATCTGCGGTTAGTGCAAAACCGTCAATAGCTGAGGCGGCATTGCCTTCAACCAAACTTTTCAGGTAATTGAACTTATCAATTTTGGATACACCGCTATTATTGTGTACTGCAGCTTCGAAACTGTCCCAAAAGGACTGCCAGGATTTGGGGTCTCCATATATAATAAACTAAACACTGCTCCAGAAGACCGTGTGCATTCCATTTTATATCGTTCCAGAACAGTGTTCCAAATGTTCTAGAAGAGTAAATGGAGCAGCCTACAGATGCTCCCCTACCCTCCCCCCCCCCCGCACCGCTGCTCCAGCACCCCAGCCCTGATCCGCCACGGCAGAGCTGCCAAGTTCATATGATTAAAAACATGACGGTTATCTTAGGAGGAGGAGGCAATCTCAAACCCTGAGCCGGCAATCCTCTGTGGAGGCTTGCTAACACCATACATACAACTTTAATAAACTATTAAGTTATTTCCTTCGCTTCTCATATGAAATCAATAGACCATTCTGACATTAATATGCCAATAACAAAACTTGACAACATGAGTGCAGATTACCACCTAAGGCTAAGGTCATGATAAAACCACAGAGATAAAATTATATTTAGTACAGTTCCAACTAAACTTGGCCGTTTGGTTATAATATTTATTAATATCAAAATCACCATTACCCTCAAGGCCAGCAACTCAACAATCCATGTCCATAATTTACCGTAATTAAACAAGTTAAATATCTACCAGTGTATTACAACATTTGAAAACACTGCCACTAGCAATTGAGTGTTCTTCGAAAACTAAAGTCATAATAAGCAGAAACTTGAACAAATATGCATGCTTAGAGGTACGTGTACTGGGTCCAAATGTACTGATTTTCGTGCAAAATTCGCCGGTGTTTGCCAGAGTATAGTCACTGAGGTATCGGTATATAGTTTGTGTGACCCCTATTATTATGTATCAAGGCTGACACGTGACCCCAACCCCGCCCCTAACCTATCTTGTCTGTATCAGTAGGAGTTGTGTTCTCTGAAGTTATGAAATAACCAGACTTGCAGGGTTAGTGCTAATCCAGCTTTGAACAAGCGGCCACAGGAGTTCGGCCCCAAAACCTGAAGATCACGGGTAAACCGTGAGACCCTGGCAGCTCTGTCACAGAGTACTAACCATACTAGAGGTCTCACTTTGCGAGAAAAACCAAGGTTACCGTAGTTTTTACAGCGCATATCTGGCGACCATGTTCTTAGCAAGTGCCCTAAAGAGAGGTATTCACCCCCTGGAACATTAAATTTCAATATGTTTTTTAGGGGGTTACGGCCTCTCTTTAGGCCACTTGCTAAGAACAAATCCGTTACCATTATTATTCTGTGCCGTTACGCTGAAATTAATAAGAAGTGAGACCTCCGCGTATGGTATTTACTCTGTGGCTTTGCTACAGTAGCGAACTACAACTGTATTTGGATATTACCCATCCTTGATTCCGGACCTTTTGTCGGCCTCCAAAAGCCGCTGCGAAGCGTATCATGAAAATATTTTAAACTCAGTGTATTAGCTTAACTATTTCATTTATGCAGACTATATTGTTCAACTCAACATGAACACAGTCGTTTGTTGAATGAATTACTATATCAGTATATGCATTTCATAAACAGGAAGGCTTGAGAGTTGAGAGTACATAATTGATATTTTTTTTATTTCGTAACACTAATACAGTAATAGATCAGACAAGAATCTAAATTGTTGTTGCGGTACTGTTAGTTGTACATTTCAGAAAGTCGACACAGCCTGTGTTAATTTGCTGTTGGCTATAATCGCAACTGCGAAAGACTTCCGCGTTCTCAATATACAGGTAAGTCAATATTTGTATAATTTTACTTATTATACCGATGCCGGCAGTGGATGTATTGATTACCAGTGTATTAAATTAAACCATTATACTGGAACAGCATTTGATTTGATATTTAAGATACCTGATGCATCATGCAGTCGCAATTGAGTAACGTCGTATATGACCGGTTTAATTGACTCATAGTTTAACCATTGTCCGTTGAATGAAACATACTTTACACTGCGACAAATTTCCTTTGGTGTTTTAGGTTCGATACGATTTGACTACGACCAACTTCTTTTTTCGCTGAAAAAAATCTCTCAGAATTTTTACTTAATTAAAACTTGAGAGTTGACTACTCTACGTGCATGGAATAAGGTACCCGCAGTGACTATAATTTTAATTTTAAGTAAAATTACTTAAATTTACTGACCAAATTTACTACACTTTTTGGATAAATTAGCTACTAGTTTTTGAGAAAAGATTCACTTTTAATACCAACAAAAAATGAGTTTTAGTAATTTTAAGTTTTAGTAATTGTACTCAATACATGCAGTGAGTCACTGCAAGTCACTTCAAGTCATTTGAAGTTGATCTTATTCAAAATAACTCTTAAATCTGCAGTAAAGTTATTTTCATCCGATCCTTCACGACATCACCGCCGGTTTTCAAAATCGTTGGGACTTTCAATTTGTTTTGAGACGACGTCATTGGTAGGGGAATAAGATGACGTCTTGGCAGGAGAAATTTTGCACAGTCAAAAATGATTATATTTTCTGATTTTTTTTTGTCTCAAATTCTGCATGACGATTACATTTATTTTTTATGTGAAAGTTTATAATTTAATATAATGCCTCCGGTAATTTTCAATATTTCAAAATGTATGGGTACACATGTCGTCATATATTCGTTGATTTACATACCAAACAAACTGAAAGATTTTGAAAGCGAAAACAGATGTTGGAAAACAGGTTTATGAGACAGCTAGATCAACTGAAAATCTACTACCGATACCCTAAAGGACTTCTCAATCTCATATTAATCCTTTAAATGTCAATCTCTGAGAACCTGGGAACAGTCAATCAACGCTCTACCGATAGTCGCAGGTTTTCTCCAGGTACCCCGTACTATATATATATATATATATATATATATATATATATATATATATATATATATATATATATATATATATATATATATATATATATATATATATATATATATATATATATATATATATATATATATTATTATTATTATTATTATTAAATATATTTACTGATTTTGTAACCAAAGGTTAAATTACATCAGCTATACTACAAATAATTAAATATAAAAGAGTAAACTACTATTTACAATTTAATTTCGAAATAATTTGTGGTAAGAAGGATTTTCTAAAACGTTCTGTTTTACAATAATAATTATTATATTTACAATTTCCCCTCGTATCATAGACCGAAGAGGATTTATTAGGTAAAAATTCATCCAATTTTTGAAGGTTCTCATCTCTCAAAAATAACTGTTCGCATAAAATGTCACGTCGTTCCTTCAAGGATGGAATATTAATAAGTTCGCGTGCATCGTTATAGCTAAGTTCTGGTAGAATAATTCTCAAAGCTCTTCTTTGAACCCTTTCAATATCATCACTCAAATAACCTGGAATGTTGAAGTGCCAAACTTGGCAAGCGTATTCTAACACTGGCCTTATAATAGTGGTAAATGCGATGGATAATATTCTAGTGTCAGCGTTGGCTCGTTTCAATAACCTAAGCATATACAATCTTTTCCCAGATTTCGTAACAATTTTATTAACGTGTTCATTCCAATTCATTTTGGTTTGGATCGTAACGCCGAGAATTTGGGCAGAATTTACACGTTCAACCTCAGTGTTCTCGATTAATAATGCTGGGAAATTCCGTTTTACCCTACCAAAGTCAAGGATCATTTCATTACATTTAGTGACATTAAGTTTCATATTATTTGTAACAGTCCAATTATAAATATAATCTACGAGATCCTGAAGATTACTGCTACAATCAACCATGACACTTTCAGTAGCCGTACTATCATCTACATACTTCCATCGGTCGGGCCATTCATCGAAAAGATCGTTGATCATAACCAAAAAAAGAATAGGACCCAAAACAGTTCCCTGCGATATTCCTCCGTTTAAAACTTTCCAACTCGAAGACCAACTACCCAGCTTCACACATTGCCTCCGTCCAGTTAAAAAACTTTTAATCAAATTAAAAATAGTTGGGGAACGTTCAATTCCAATAATTTATGCAACAGAATGTTGTGGTCTATCAGGTCGAAAGCCTTATATATATATATATATATATATATATATATATATATATATATAGAAAGACACAAAAACTTAGCAAGCTTTGTTTGGCATATTTGTTACTATACAGTTTCGTACCACGTAAATAACGTGGCACTCTTCAGATAAAATAGCCTATGTTTGACCTATAGCTTCTTAACGAACTGCCACGTGGAGAGTGCCACGTTATTTACGTGGTACGAAACTGTATAGTAATAAATATGCCAAACAAAGCTTGCTAAGTTTTTGTGTCTTTCTATTATGCTCTGGTTATCCATTGAGCACTCTATCATTGGTTTTTATAACTCTACACAAACTATTTTATATATATATATTTATATATATATATATATATATATATATATATATATATATATATATATATATATATATATATATATATATATATATATATATAATATAGCATTTGTAAATTCTGAACGCTGATTGGCTAAGAGCCGTGTTGACATAACTCAATGTCAACACGGGAAATTTTTCACCGCTTGTAAACACGGAAATTTTTCTTATCTTTCGGGCTTTTGACATTGCTATATTATAAAAAAATATAAAACATTTTTTCCGTATTAATATAAAGTTATATCAACACTCGTGGAAGTTGGGAAAACTCGAAATTGTATGAAAACACTCCGCCCTTCGGTCGTCGTCTTTCCATACAATTTCTCGTTTTCCCAATTCCACTCGTGTTGATATAACTGTATATCAACACGGAAAATGTTTTATATTTGTTAAATATATATATATATATATATATATATATATATATATATATATATATATATATATATATATATATATATATATATATATATATATATATAACTCAACTGATGTAAATGTGTAGGTGTTTTGAGCTTCTTACGAGTATGAGCCGGGCAAGCAGAAGAAATTAATTCTCCTTGACCACGGCTGGGAATCGAACCCGCGCCCTTCGCATTTCTAGAAAGACGCTCTACCTTCTGAGTTCTGAGCTACAAGGCCAAGTTGGGAACGGTATGTAATTTATTTGTGATGTTAATGACATGAACGAATTTCTCCCTTTCCATGTCTTATTATATGTATGTATATATGTCGTACAGCTAGTAATTAATGTACGAACGCGAAGCTCAGACTCCCTACTAGCTGATTGTCTATTCAGGAAATAGCATTGCCGTATTATAGTCAATGGCGTGTAATTACGAAATCATGATAAACTAGTAAATCTACCATTTATAAGCATTTTTTCCACCTTGAGGAATGTTACAAATTTGTCAAAGTAAAATTTTAATTCAGAACATAAAATTAGCTGGCCATTAGTATAACCAGGAACACAGGAGCATTAGAACACCGGAACACGAAACAGCGGAAGACCTAAACAACATGACTCCGGAACACCAAAATTTTTTGATTTGTTAGAAATTACCAATCAAATGATATACTAGGGGTTGCTATTAACAAAACCAGGGACACCGATACACATGCAGAACAACATGACTCCGGAACACGGAACACCGGGAGCGAGTTGTGTAGACGAAACGCAAAGAGTGCTCAATATCATAAAGATAGAGCAAATGTAGAATTTCGCTTACCTCAAAATTCCGCAACAGTCTTTTTCATCAGTAAAGAATCATCAGGCGGTATGACAAAAAAATTCTGAGCCCTAACGGGAATTGAACCACGTAACCTTCTGATAACCGGACAGACGCTCTAACCATTGAGCTATAAGGCATCAGATAATGAGCCAAGGCATGTAACACACAGAACTAGTAAATAACGTAACCTTGGCTCACCATCTGATGCCTTTTAGCTCAATGCTTAGAGCGTCTGTCCGGTTATCAGAAGGTTACATGGTTCAATTCCCGTTAGGACTCAGAATTTTTCTGAGTATAGGCTTGATACGCATCCACACCAAATCACATATTCTACAAGCTGCCACAAAAACACACATATACAGAAATGCAGTTCTTAATAATAACATCAACAAGACATGTCGAGACTTGCAGTTAGCAGTACACATGTAACACACATGAGAACTAGTAAATAACGTAAGCTTGGCTCAACATCTGATGCCTTATAGCTCAATGGTTAGAGGGTTTGTCCGGTTATCAGAAGGTTACGTGGTTCAATTCCCGTTATGGCTCAGATATTTTCTGAGTATAGGCTTGATACGCATCCACACCAAATCACATATATATATATATATATATATATATATATATATATATATATATATATATATATATATATATATATATATATATAAAATTTAATTTACTGAAAATGTACTTATTATTGTTTTTTCCCACTTTTGTCACAGGAAATT